ACACACATACTCTCTTCATCTCAATAATCAATCTCCCCCCAAAAAAAAGTTCATTTTGAGCTATAGATATAGTCAAAATGAGTCCCCTCTAAAAACGATTCTAGACCATTCATTTTGTGAATTTCAAGATCTTAGCCTTTATAAACTTAAAATCATTTTTTTCTTTTCTAAACATTGTTCATCTAGTGATAATAAAGCCATACAAAAAAATTGAAAATGAAAAAAATCCTTCGAAGGCCTAGATCTAAGCATCTCACCAACTGAACTGCCTTCGTTAATTGGGCTAAACGTTCAAGATTGTGTTTTCAATTTTTTCTTTTTTCTTGTGATTGTTCATTAGAATGAAAAGAGTGTATATTTCAAATTTTGGATCAAACAAATAGCCATAAGATAGTTTTTTAAGGTTGTTACATCATATTACTATACAACGGTTGCATCAAATCATTGCCCATATATATATATATATATATATATATCATACTTCTATATGTGAAGATGATCAATTATAAGGCTTTCCAACATCAAAAGAGAACTTTCCGATATATTTTCAGGAATTCTTCCATATAGGAGACCAAATACAAAACTATATTAATCTTATGCTTGGAAGAGTATTCGACTTGGATTATCTCATTTGATATGGGTTATTGGAGAAGGCCGGCTTGTGGATTTTTTGGTAGACCCATGGTTATCAAAGAGTTATCGGGACCTTGAGGTTGTTATGCCAAATATCCCTAATTATATTGGTGGTGCTCCTCAATCCTGGGTTTTAACCCCACCTACATCAGGTTCTTTGATTCAGATATGGCAGCAAGTTGATAGATTTACTATCCCATTACAGCCACATAGGGATTTTTTAGCTTCGATTCATTCAGCAAGTGGATTATTCTCAACTAAAAAGGCTTGGGAGTTTATTCGGCATAAGGGTACTTTTCAGAACCTTGTGGTCATCAAAATGTCATCCTTGAGCGAAATGGTTCTCTTGGTTGGCCTTTCACTATCGTTTACCCACTATAGCCATGGCCCCTCATGTGTCTCCTTTTTGCAAATACATTGATGACACCCCTTGCCATCTACTGTTCCTCAGTGAGTTTTCACAGGCTATATGGAGATCTCTTGCATGGCGTTGCGGGAAACACTTTATTTCTGGCTCTTTTATTCCTATCATGCTGAGAAGTTCGTTATCTTTTAGATTCAAATCAAATGGTTTTTTCAATATTTGGACGTCTCCATTCCTCACAACTATTTGGATTTTATGGACGGAATGCAATCAAAAAGTTTTCCAATCAAAATTAATCAGGAGGGAACAATTGCTTCGACATGTCATCTCTGATGTTCAGGAGTTAGCTAATACTAAATCATGGACATTCCATGTTTCAGAAAAAGCACGCATTAAATGACGTGGCCCAGTGGTAAGGCAGGGGATTGTAAATCCTTTTTCCCCAGTTCAAATTTGGGTGTCATTTGTCTCGTAATGTCAATGCCAAATTCCAATTCAAATTTACATTTCAATTGGGATCATCAGAGGGATGAATTGGCTATCCCAGTGGTGTGGTCATTTCTTAAACCTAATTACTTCAAGCTAAATCTTGATGCAGCTTCATTGCATAACTCAGGTCGAGCAGGTCAGGTTGGTGTTCTTAGAGACAACGATGGTATTGCAGTGTTTTCAAAATTTTTTGAAATCACTTCTAATAATTATGTGGGATTCTTTGCTCTTGAAGAAGGTCTAACTCTAGTTGTTTTGTTAGAGTATTTCCCTATTCAAATTGAGAGCGATTCAGCCCTGCTCATTAGTGCTATTCATGAATGCTGTCGACCTCTTTGGAAGTTATATACACTTACAACAAATTATAGACGTCTTTCTAATTATAGATGATTCATTACCTATATTTATCGTGAGACCAACATGATAACTGATATTTTTGCAAAGAGAGCCGCATCTCGATTAGAAGCCACACTATTTGGCGTTTTCGTCATCAGCGTTTATTTCTTTTACTTTACTCGGTGGATTGTTACAATTTCTTTTACTTTACTCCGTGAATTGTCACAATGCCCGGTGCCAAAGTCGTAAAGAAGTGAGCTGTGCCCTTTTCATTTTAAAATATTAATAAAACAGGAGTAGGCTCTCCCCAGTGGACGTACGAAAGAAAAAAAAAAAAAAAAATGTAAACTTTTTCCTCCATAAAGTTAAACAGTCTCTTTCTCAATCTAAAGGTTCAGACAGTCCCGCAGCTCTGGCGGGGAAATAGGATAAGGATTTCTGGAGCGCGCAGAGAGAGAGAGAGAGTGATATGGCTCAGTCCCTAATTTCTCCGTGCATCTCTTTTTTCGCTGCAGCAGGTATTTTGCATTCTCTTCTCCTTTTCTGTTCAAATACTGCAATGAAAGAGAGAGAGACCACTCATTCTCTCACTTTCGTGTGCAGATGCCAATTCCCGACCCATTCGCCCTCTCCATCGTTTCTCCTCCCCAAAATTGAGTGTCGCTGGGGATACGTCTTTCCGAGGCACCCCTCTCTGTAAGTGACATTTCATTCTTTCTCTCACTTTCCTCTTTAAATTCTTGAATTTCGCCCACTCTCAGTAAGGGAGTCGCTCCATGACTTCTCTTTTGTTTTGGTTGAGTTTGGGTTTTACTGTGTTATTTTCAAGCTTTAGCATTTTAAACACTTTGTTTCTCGATTAGACGCTGGACGATGAAATTATTCAATGTGATGCCTGGTGTGGCTAAGAAGTGCAAGGATTGACTCTGTGTTCGAATACCGGCAGTAGGTCTCGGTGCATCTTCAACATTGTGACTTTGCTTTCAAAGCCTCATCATTTTCTGAGAAGGAATCAATTCATACCAGAAATAATGCCCTCATTGGGTTGAATCCAACATTTGTCGACTTCTACTGCTGCTACGGCAACTACTACTAGCACCGTGGCAACTACTACTAGCACCGTGACTACTATGGCTTGCTTATCCAAGAGAATGGACATATTCTGCTGCTGCCACTGCTATTTCTTTTGCAGTCTATACTGTATTCAATAAATATAGTGTCTGGTTTTAAATGATCCTTAAGCCTTGGATATGAAGAAAGAGGGTAAGACAAATGACCGGAAAGCTCCTAATGCCATAAGTTATCATATAATGCAATGGATAAGGAAATCGCCAATTTTCAAATTGTCTGTTGGCTGATTACCCAAGCTCCTCTCAGGCTGGGATCATTACAGTTGACAAGTGCGTGCTGATTTCCCTGGTTCATAGTGATCAATATGATCATTGATCAGCACGCTAAGAATGCCACGAGTCCCACATCCATTACTTTTTCTCCTCAATATTAAAGTAAATAATAGGTTTAAGCCAGCCTCCTTCAACATTATTGATCTATTGTCCAATAATCAATACTAGTGTTTATGCACCTTATTCCACAAAATCTTATTCAAAGGTTTCTTTTTATATTTATCTAAGTGATCCTGATTCTTGTGCTAGATAAATACCCAAATGGTATTTGAGTTTAGATGCTAATGAGGAACAATAGTTAAACATCTCGCCAATTGAACTCTCTTTAAACTTCTCAACCATACGATAAACATCCTTGACTGATAGGGTACACGAGGAAAACAACAGCAGTAGCTGCTAACTGGAACCGAATATGAAGGAGTCTACCTCAGTTCTCAATTTGGCCCTCCAGTTGTTGCTTAGTTGCTTAAACATTCAAGGGCAAAAGTTTTATCTTTCCTAATACTTGCAGCTCCCTTTTTATATGCACTTCCGTGTGGTGCAAAATTTTCATGAACTACTAATTATAGATTCTGTTCCCAAGTAACTGTTGCTCTTGATTAAAAAGTATAGCTAATGTTTCATTATAGAATCTAACAACTCATCTCAACTATGTTACCCAGACACTTACATTTTTGCTGTAGTTTCGTTGACAGATGTTGACACTTGGACACCATGGCGAGACTTCGAGATATATGGATAATAGCAAAAAAAAAAAATGTATAGAGCACAAAGGTGGGGTTTGAACCCAAGATGTCTAGTGCCAAATTCTTGTGATCTACCACTGCACCAGCACATCTAGGTCTAATAAGTATGAGCTAATTATTATATATACATTAGAAGTCTATTATTTTATTGTAAATAAATTTACAGTTGTGCCCTATCGTATTGGCCTTTTAGACTGAAATACTAGACCCTTGTCCATTTCTAGGTAACATAGCTTGATAAAGGTAGCAATGGACCCTTCTTAGGGTTTCTTTCCACGAATTTCTAAGAGACCTAGGTTCACAGCATGCATATTGAGCGAGACTGCACTAATTTTTCTTTCTTGAAAAACCCTCTATGACTAGTAATGCTACCTTCCCAAATGGTAGTTGTTTGTTCACATTATAGTAATATGAAACACATGCAAGACGTGTTAGAAAATGAAGGCTACGTCCATATATAGATAATTTGTGTGGCATTACACACTATAGTTGGTTGGGTAACCTTTGGAATGTGTGTGTGTGTGTGTACATATAGGTGGACTGGCTATATGCAGCGTAGGCCAAATACAATACCAGCTAGGAGAGGAGTGATTTGGTTCAAGTAGAAGTCTCTAAAAGGGCAGGGGGAAGGCCCAAAAGGATATGGATGGAAGTAGTGAGAAGAGATATAGTGACTTATGGTTTGACTGAGGGTGAACAAAATAGTGGAACAGGATTCGTGTAGCCAACCCCAAGGGGCAAGGCTTGGATGATGACAATGATGATGATTATATATATATATTATTATATATATTATATAGAATTAGTACTTATGCATCACAAGTAGGATTGGATGATAGAATTAAGAGACAACTTTGGGAGGACATAGATGGAATAGTCCAAGACATACCAAATGGAGAGAGGGCCTGTTTAGCAGGGAACTTAACTGGTCATGTAGGAAAGGATAGTACAGGATGTGAAAGGTTACAAGGGGGATATGGGTTTAGGGAAAGAAATGAAATTGGTGAGACTATTTTAGATTTCGCTATAGCCTACGACCTAGCAATAGCAAACATGTACTTTAAAAAGCAAGATGAACATTTTATAACCTATAAAAGTAGATCACATAAAAGCCGGATAGACTTTTTCCTAGTTAAGAAGGTAGATCGACCATCTTGTAAAGACTGCAAAGTTATCCTAGGAGAGAGTTTCATTACCCAACATACGTTTGTGGTTATGGATGTCTGCATAAAGACATGGAAGAGAAAGGGTGAAAGTAATGGGTGTCCAGGAACTAGGTGGCTGAATTTAAAAAATGAGAAAATAGACTTATTTAGGGATAAATTAGTTGAAAAAAGGAAATAGAACTTTGAAAATGATGTCAATGTAATATGAAATGAGACGGCTGACTGTATCAAGAAAGTGGCAAAAGCAGTTTTAAGAGAATCTAGAGGGAAAAACAATTTTGATAATGAAACTTGGTGGTGGAGTGATGAGGTTCAAAAGGCCATTAGCAAGATATGATTATGTTATAAAACTTGGCAATGCAATAGAAATGATCAACTTAGAAGAATATAAAAATGCTAGGAAAAGCGTTAAACAAATAGTAAGTAAAGTTAAACTTATGGCATATGATAATCTATACAACAAACTGGGAACAAGAGAAGGTGAAAAATATGTATTCAAATTAGCAAAAATAAGAGAGAAAAAATATAGGGATCTAAACCATATTAAATTCATTAAGAGTGAGGATCAAAGGGTCTTGGTGAAGGATGACTAGGTCAACGAAAGGTGGAGAGTTTATTTTCAAAAACTTTTAAATGACTAACACAATGGGAACATAACGGTAGAAGGAACTGTTGGTATAAATGATATCGGAGGTCATAGGTACATTCGTAGGATTAGGAAGTCAGAATTAAAAGAAGCTTTGTAAAGGATGAAGATAGGAAAGGCTTTAGGACCAGATGGTATCCCGATAGAGGTTTGAATGTGCATACAAGAGATAGGTATTGGCTGGTTGACGAAGCTGTTCAACAAAGTGTTGAGAACCAAGAAAATACCAGATGAATGGAAGAAAGGTATTGTGGTACCTATTTATAAACACAAAGAAGACATACAAAATTATGCGAATTATCGAAGAATCAAGCTTATGAGCCATACTATGAAGCTCTGGGAGAGAGTGATTGAGCAACGACTAAGGCATGAAACAAATTTATTCGAAAACCAATTTGGTTTTATGCTAGAAAGATCAACAATCGAATCTATTTTCCTATTTAAGCAATTGATTGAGAAGTTTAGGACAAAGGGAAAAGACCTCCATATGGTCTTTATTGATCTAGAGACAGCTTATGATAGAGTACCTCAAGATTTGATTTGGCGGGCGTTGAAAAAGAAATGAATCTCCAGACACTACATCGACTTGGTGAAGATATATATGATGGAGCATTAATTAGTGTACGAACAACTAGTGGAGAGATGAGTGAGTTTTCAGTGACAATAGGTCTACATCAAGGGTCAGCATTGAGCCCGTACCGCTTTGTTTTAATTATGGACGACTTAACTAGGCACCTACCGGGGGAGGTACCATGGTGTATGTTGTTCGTAGATGACAGTTTTGATCGATGAAATACAAAACAACGCCAACACAAAGTTAGAACTTTGTAGGGATTCTCTATAATCTAAAAGTTTTAAAATTATCCAGACTAATACAAAATATATGAAATGCAAGTTTAATAATAATAAGATCAGGGATGACGAAGTAGTTGAGATTGACGACCAATAAGTGCAAAAAAGATCGCACTTTCAATATCTTGGGTCGATAATCCAATAAAATAGGAGACTGAGGAAGATGTCGCACACAGAATTAGAGCTGGGTGGGCAATGTAGAGATGTACAACTGAAATTTTATGTGCTCGCCGAGTACTAACAAAGCTGAAGGGCAAGTTCTATATGACAACTGTGAGAATGGGGCGGAATGTTGGGTAGACAAAAACAGTATACCCATAGAATGAGTGTAGAGGAGATGAGGATGTTGAGATGGATGAGTGGCAAGATAGGAATGATAGAATTCGAAATGAATCCATTCGAGAAAATTTAGGTGTAGCACCAATCAGTGATAAGATGAGATAGAGTAGATTTCGGTGGGCTGGCCATGTGTGGCACCGACCCAGTACAACACCCATTAGGAGGTGCAAGTTAGTTCAAATGGAAGGATTGAATGGGCAAGGGGTAGGCTCAAAAAGACGTGGTTGGAAGTAGTCCAAAAAGATATAGGGACTTATTGCCTCACTGGCGGTATGACGTTAAATAGAGCAAAC